ATTCGTTAGATCATCAATCAGCAGAGAAAATAACAGAAAATGATTTAGGTGATCAACTCACACAGAAAGTAATGAGAATTTCGTCAGACGACGAGAGAACCCACAAAAATGTGGAGAGCAGGCAAACTATCTGGAATCCTATCACGAAAAAGCAATTTATAACTGTTATTAACGAGTTAGGACTCGATAAAAAGCAACTCGATAAAGAAACATGGCGCTTGAATGAATTTACACGTTCTAAAGGGTCTATTCGGGGTCGTTTGATATCGAAATTGAATTTAAATCAAACAGAAAGTATACGTCATTTCTTATATAATTTCTGGCGGTGACGAAATGGTGGAAAAACTGAAGGTAATATCTCCGATAATTGTCTTCATTCTGTTGAAGAAGATAATAATTCAGATCAAGAAAATGAAGTTGAGCTTTCTTTATCGAGCTCTGAGAGTAAGTCCACAGCATCCAACACGTCTCTTCCACATCGAGAGACTCGTTTGACAGTTCAACACCAATCGATTACATTAAAAATTGTTGAAGCATCATTCATCTTGACTTTAAAATAATGGAAAGACCTTTACAACAGTTCTACACGTCAAATGGAGCCAGGTTGGACAAACGTGATTGATCAGAAAGTGCGCTCATGTAATTTTCGTTGTACCTTGATTGTTAAAAAGCATCATATTGTTCTTGAAAGGTCACGTAAAAGAAATTCTTCCTTTTTTCGTTGTACAGCCACATGCAAGGCGTCCTCATGCCAGCGAACATTTGAAATTTTTATCAGAGATGAACCAACAAGAAGAGATAGTATCGTCGTTCGTATACAAGCTGTTGGAGACGAAAACCATAGTGCAGATGAAAAGGAAGTAGCGCGACATTTAACTGGATAAGATAGACTTGATGTTGGAAAGGCAGCCAATCTAATCGGCTGCTTAAAAGTCTTTCAACAAAAATTTGAAAATGCTAGTGAAGAAATGTTAGCCGCTTGTAATTTCACTGGTTGTGAAATACAGAAATCATAAAACATGCAGCAGCAGATTACCGGAAAAAATTTCAACTTGACGAAAATATTTTCCGAGAATGTCGAATTAGACAACAAATACTTGAAGAAATCGATGTAACATCCGAGAAAATAAAAGGATATGTGCAAGTTATGGCTGAGAAGCCGTTTCGCCTTCATCTAACATCAGAAGCGCAAATCCGTCGTTATATTAATTATTGTACAGATACTACTTACTCACAGATATACATCGATGCGACTGGATCGATAGTCAAGAGTTTACCACATCAAAAGACAGTTCTAATGTATACAACCGTTTTTAAAGATGAAAACGATCCAACCAATGTAATTCCATTAGGACATGCTATTCTTGCTGATCACACAGCAACAAGCATAAGCTATTTGTTGGGTACTCTTCGACAACACATCGTTACCTTCAAAGAAAAAGTTGTGCGACCTTCCTTTTTTGTCACAGATTTCTCTCCAGTTATATTTAATGCTATTTTGCAAACGTTCAACTATGAAGATATTCGTAGTCATTTAAAACGATGCTGGAATGCCATTTTACGAAAATATGATGCGAAACAAATTCGTTCTCGGTCATTTTTGCGCTTTTGCTGTTCTCACATGATGAATGCCTTTGCTAGAAGCATTTCAGTTGCTAGTGTAGCCAAAAACATAAGAAAAAAGGTCATGCATGTATTTGCTTTGTTCGTCAATTGCGATGAACTGGAAATAGCAT